CCGACAAACAGTTAGCGAGACATCGTAAGTTAAATATTGAAAAAGTTGTCAAGTTTTCCTCAAATATCTCAAAAAATATTAGACAAGTAAAAAAATATTTTAGACAATAGTTGTTCAAATTAATTGATAGAAAAAGATGATATAATAAAAAATTGGAGTTTCCATTTAAGAAAAGTAATGATTAGTGAATATTTCAGAAGTGATGCCATCTGTAAACAAACTGTTATAGTTATTTTATGCCTCTCTTGAAACTATATAACTTTTATCTGAAATATTTTTTCATATCTTCCATATTTTGCGAGATATCAAGTGTAGTAAAAAGAAATCCATTATTTTTGCATGAAATTGAAGGCTTTAATTACCATAGTTAGAATGATCCGATTTAGGTCAAATATGCGCCGTTTTGTTCGATAACTTATTGCCATTTTGAAGGTAATTTCATTATGCCTCTCTCATAGAAGTCGTCCCTATTGGCAAAAAATTGAGACAGTCGATTTTCACTCTCTCTTGAAGCGAATTTTTCACCAGCAAAATTGTTCGCCATGGACAGGAACAGATGGTAATCACTTGGTGCCAGGTCCGGACTATAAAATGGATGCATAAGAACCTCCCAACCAAGCTCCCGGAGCTTCTGGCGAGTCACTATCGATGTGTGTGGCCTGGCGTTGTCCTGATGGAACACAATTCCTCTCCTATTCGCCAAAGCTGGCCGCTTCTGGACGATTGCTTCCTTCAGACGGTCCAATTATTGACAGTACAGTTCCGAGTTAAGAGTTTTGCCGTAGGGGAGCAGCTCATAGTAGATAATTCCCTGCCAATCCCACCAAACACACAGCAAAACTTTCCTGGCCGTCAATCCTGGTTTGGCCACCGTTTCCGCCGGCTCACCGCGATTCGACCACGACCGTTTTCGCTTGACGTTGTCGTAAGTGATCCACTTTTCATCACCAGTGACCAACTGCTTCAGAAATGGGTCGATTTTGTTGCGATTCAGCAGCGATTCGCAGATGGAAATTCGGTCCATGAGGTTTTTTTTCGTTAACTCGTGTGGCATCCATACATCGAGCTTCTTTTTGTATCCAGCCTTATTCAAATGGTTCCAAACGGTTTTTGTGCAATCTTTAGCTCTTGGGCAATCGAAACAGTGCTTACATGACGGTCGGACTCGACAATGTCCATGATTTTATCGATATTTTCGACAATTGGCCTTCCAGTGCGTGGTGCGTCTTTGACATCGAAATTACCGGAACGGAATCGACGAAACCAAAATTGCGCGTGATTGGCTGTTACAGTATCAGGACCATAAACACTATTCACATTTTCAGTCGCCTGGCTTGCGTTTTCGCCTTTATCGAAGAAAAACTGTAAAATATAGCGTATTTTCTCTTTGCTAGTGTCCATCTTTGACGCGCGCTCAAACAAAACTGAGTTAACTAATCACAAAACTGTCAAAAAAGTTTTTTTAGTACGAAATCTCATCTTTCTAACGCCATCTAGTGGAACCCGATCGGACTTATACAACGCGAGATACAGATAACTAAAGCCATCTATTGGACAAATAATGGATTTCTTTTTACTACACCTGATATTTGTCTGTTAAAAATAAAATGGAACATCCTGTATATAGGGTGTTTCATTTTAAGCGATACTGTCGATTATCTCGCGAATCGATGGCTTTGTTGAAAAATTTTTCGAACGAAAGTTGCATGGCTTGAAAGGGGACACATAATGGAAATGTGGACTTGACCTTGAATGACCTTGTCAAAATTAGGTCAAGGCTATTAATGTTTTTTTTAAATGGAAACCTCTATTTTTTTATTACATATTCTTGTAGCTTATCTCGAGAGCTTTCCAAAACACTATAATAAAGTTACATTTCGTTGAGTACTTTCCGAGTTATGAGGCTTGAAAGTTAAGGCAAGGCACCGATCACTGATCCGGCCAACTAAGGCAAGACTTATCAACGGCTAAAGACATATTCGAATTGATCTTGCCTTAGTTGGCCGGATCAGTGATCGGTCTTGCCTTAGTTGGTCGAATCAGTGACCGGTCTTGCCTTAGTTGGCCGTATCAGTGATCAGTCTTGCCTTAGTTGGCCGGATCAGTGATCGGTCATGCCTTAACTTTCAAGCCTCGTAACTCGGAAAGTACTCAATGAAACGTAACTTTATTAGTGTTTTGGAAAGCTGTCGAAATAAGCTACAAGAATATGTAATAAAAAAATAGGGGTTTCCATTTAAAAAAAACATTAATGGCCTTGACCTGATTTTGACAAGGTCACTCAAGGTCAAGTCTACATTTTCATTATGTGTCCCCCTTCAAGCCATGCAACTTTCGTTCGAAAAATTTTTCAATAAAATTATCGATTCGGGAGATAATCGACCATATCACTTAAAATGAAACACCTTGTATATATGTATATATATGTATATATATACTTTCCCAGTCTTCATTCTATATATAAACGTACTAAAATAAGATATCAGAACATGAATATTTTTCGAGATGTATATTTCACATTTTATCTTGGTAATTTTTTACACAAAATATTATATATACATGCGTACATACATATACACATATATATATACACATACATATATATACATGTATGTTATGAAACATTCATCCAATAACCTTATTTTAATATTGTTATACATAAAATATTAGGAGAAGAATCAATTCAAAATATTAATCTTTATATATTGATGTATATATTAACATCTGCAAAATGTAATGAAATTTGTTTTATATATTTCTCAATGTTTTCTTTTGCACTAATTCATTTTTTATATTATTCCAAGTATAAAAATATTTAAGCAAATATTCATAGCATTATATGTATTTATATAATATACAGAACACGCACGCACGCATATACGTATGCGGAATGTTTATCAGACTCTACCTCTATATATCCTGGATAATACTAAAAGAATTTCACATTTTATGAAAAAAGGTATCTAAAATCTATTTTAAAATTATAATGTATAATATGGTTAAACTGGTCTCAGATTGGAGTACTATCATGTGTATCATACACACATATACAAATTGCACCGTTTAAAAGGATTGAATTGAATAAATATACAATGAAATATATAGTATTGGTAGAGAAGGGTCAACGTTATAGTCTCAGCTATGTATGCTAGAACTTTCAACTGAATACTTGTATTTTAACACTTACTGTTTATAATTTATTCAAATGTATTATTCTATTTAAAATAATTTCAATAATTTAATTCAAGTATATTATTCTATTTAAAATAATTTTATATACAAAATGTAACTGAATATGTTCTGAATATGTAACTGAATATGCAAACAATTCAGAAATGGATTCAGCATTTAAAAACAATAAAATATATTCCTATAGATATATGTCCGATTTAGTCTTATTTCTTTGTTAAATTGTAATGTTTTTTATTCTCTAACATTTACCTTACTTTTAAATGAGATCTTCAAAATAATTATATTACATCTCAATATAAGCTTATTTATTTTAGTAATATGCTTTAATCATAAATCTGATTTTTTTACATATCTATTTATTACTTTGATTTTCAAATCTTGATAATAAATATTAGAGTTAAACACGTTATAATAACTATAATATATATGTTTATAACTTAGCTTTATAATGAATCGTTGAAAAATAAAACTTGCTATAACTCGGGAATAAAATTAAATCGGATGTATTTAGCTTTAGACTTATTTTATTATTTTTAAATATTTAATCCACGTGTAAAGTATCTTTTACCTATTGAAATATATCACACGTGCGCTTTTACATTGTAGTTATATACAATTGTTAAGATACTTTAATTGTTTGTTTTTTTCATACGATACATTACTCTCAGCACAGATAAAAATTATACATACATACATATATGTATATGTGTGTGTATACACATATATATACATATATATACGTATGTATATAAGCACTCTCATAAATATTATTATATACAATATCAATATAACAGTATCGCCCTTTTGTGTGCATGTGTGTGCGCGCACGCACGTGCTTGTATGTGTGTATGTGTGTGCGTGCGTGCATGCATACGTGTGTAAGGGATTTGTATCCTAAGTAATAATCTCGTTTGAAAAAATGAAAGGTTTTCAAGTATTTAGTATTTTATACATGCGCGTACATGCACGTGTGTCTATGTATGTGACTGAAATAAAAGAACACTTTGAATCTAAGTGTAGTTATAAATACGTAAATATTTATAATTGTACATATTAAAAAATTAAATTAATCGAAATTTAAAATATCAAAATTAACTAAAACATTTGATGCATTCCTGTATTTTTTATATTTTTTCAATAATATAATTTGCATGAATAATTATGCAATTTATACACTTGCACTTAGGCGTTGATTATAGCTATCTTCCTTTTATTGCAATTTTATATAAAAAAGTTTTATTATTTACTTTCAAAGTTTACTTACTATTATATAAATTTGGTATAACTGTATTTTTGTATCATATGTTACAATATATCATGCATACACGCAGGCAATCACGCATGTATAAGCAATTGCATATCTCAAGCTGCTACACATAACAAAAGAACATGGTATATATCATATATGTAATAAAGATAAATATACATTGTCATTAAGGAAAAGAAGACATAGATGATTAAAAATTGAGTTTTACGGCTTAGATATGCCTGAATGATACAAAAGAAGTCTTAATATTAAAATATCTAAAATTAGCAACCAAATTATACATTTTGATAAATTCGGAATAAAAAATCGGCTATCTACCTCAAAATAAAAGTAAAAGTATAGATATTATCAGCATTTTAGTATTTCTTCTTGTAAAAACCAGAACAAAATCTTCGCTTACTCTGTGACAACCTTCTTGGCTTTTCGCGTGCTTTTCTTTTCTTTCTAATTTGGAAAAAGCATACTTTAATGCTAAGTTTAGTAACAATTGCTTGAAAAACAGATTTTTTTAATTTTGGTTATTACAACATTACTTAAATACCTGTTGCTGATGTAATTGTTGCTGCTGCATCTGATGTTGCTGTAGGTGTTGTAACTGTTGTTGTTGCTGCAGTTGTTGCTGATGTTGCAGTATTTGCTGTTGTTGTTGTTGCATAGAAGTATTATTGCTCCCATTTCCAGCTTGCTGAGTTTGTCCACTTTGAGCTCCAGTAGATAGTCCTATTAACAGCGATATCAGTATGATCGAATATCTTTCGTTTTAATAGGGATAATAGATTCTAGCTTACCATTAGGTGCTGGTGGACCTTGAGCTGGAGATTTAGCCCATCCTTGTAAATCTGCCAAAAGACTCTGCCATACAGCAATTTTGTCATAATGCCGCTTTATAAGTTCATCTTTACGACCCAATTCCAATTTTAAATCATTAATATCTTCTTTGACGACTAATTCAGGCTTTAATGCAGACAGTAAAAATCTCTTTTGTAGGAAGAAAGCTTCCATTTGTCTAGCCAAATCTATAAATCTCAGAGTAACTTGTTCCACTTCTGTGCGAGCTTCATCTTTATCTACTGCCACACCATTAGATATACCAATCCCATTATTACTTAATCCTTCATCCTTTGTCAATATGCTCAAGCATTGCTGGAAATCATTGATATATAAAGAGAATAAGATTAAAATAAATAAGATGAGACAATGTTTTACTTGTAACTAATAATTGTAATTAATATTTCAAATTATCAATTTTTTGTTTTGGATAATATATAGTGGATTCAGATAACATAATTTACAAAATAATCGCTTCTTTATATATATATCTGTCATCTATACTTGTAAATACATATATATATATATATGTATATATATACATATATGTCTGATATAATTAAATAAAAAGCAATAGTTCAGTTACAAATATGATTATTTGCTTTTTGCATATTATTGCATTGTTTTACCACTATTTTTGCATATTATTTTGCTATATTATTCTACATTGATCTATTTCTTATTAATATACATCCTAAAATAAAACATTTTCTCACAAATAAATTTTAATTAACTCAGAGCTTCTATATAGTAAAAAGATAGGTGTTGTGTATATGTATATGTGTGTGTGTGTAACTTTTTATTTCTAGATAAAATATTATAAATCAAGAGAACAGAATATATTTTTCCCAGTTGCAGACTAAATATTAGTATTAATATTATGAGTAATGAATGACTACCTGCAGTGGTAATTCTTAGTTCATATTCTACTCCCATAATATAAATTATTCAATATATTTTTAACATTTTCTTTATGTAAAATAAACAGTATTAACATCTTCACGTAAAATATACATAATATAAAAAACATCAACTGATAATAAACTAAACAGAAACTATATAAAAATTTGTAGTCTGGAATATAAATTTTTGAAATGCATCAAACAAAAATTTGACGTATAAAAACAATTATTTTACCTGAAATGCCTCTTCAAACTCATCGACGAGATTACCATTGCCATTAGTTGGAGTTGCCATTATATTCTGTGACTCACACGTGCAATAATTGTGTCAATTTTTAATTACTAAGTCTGTTTAATAACTCATTTGATTATATCTCTATTATTCTTTACTTATATATTTTCTTTAAATCATTGATGCAGTATCACTTTCGATTTTCTCTTTCGTTTAAATATTTTCAATTTTCACGAGTATAAAATTAAATATTAATATTTATAATATTCTTCTGTCATCATAAAAATTTCGTATGGTGTAGATAAAAATAAACAAATAAATTTGTTTATTGTTGTAAATACTTTGTAACGTTATAGAGCTAGTATTTATAATCTGCAATATGTTAGTAGCAAATTCTAACCAAAAAGAATCAAATAGAACGAAAGATCCCATACAAATATAATATATTTTTGGACATGCGAAATTCAGTATCATTTCGTGAGTTAAATACTGAAACTCCCCACTTCTGACACGTCACATTTCTATCTCCAAACAGAAATCTTACAGCGGACATGCCGTACAAAATTACAAAAGAATAGATGACGGCACCATAAAGCAAACACAGGCTGTGTTCCAATATTCACTGCCAGCACTGAAAATCTATAATATACGTGACACAAACTATGTATTTTCAGTACTGGCAGTGAATTTTGGAACACAGCCATCATATATGAATGCAGTAGAGAGAAACCTGAAAGCAGCCACAGTTTCGATTTTCCTATAACGTTATTTTGAAGCGCCCTTATGTTTATTTTAAAGACAAACTACGTTGCCGTATTTTTTCTCAATAGATAAAAGATGCTATCTACGTAGTTTTGTTCCGTGCTAGAATATAATAGAACCAATAGGGTCGTATTCATAGTCGAGTCTTAAGTTAGCACTTAAGACGATCTTGGTTAAGTCGGTCTTATTCAATCAAGACCGTCTCAAGATCAGTATGTTTCGTAGTCATGAAATAAGACAATCTTCGCGAAGAATATGGGCAAGAGCACAGGCTTTTGCATAACACATAATACATAACGCATAAGAGAATAAACCGATTAGTTTTCTTCATTTCCCTCCTCAGGACAGAAATGAAGAACTCTGATTGGTTGATTCTCTTATGCGTTGTATATTATGCGTTATGCAGAAGTCTGTGCTCTGGCCCATGGCCTTTAAAACTAGCGGCACACGGTGCTTGTTTTCGTGCTAGATTGCTTGCTGGATGAAAATACTGCGTTCTGATTGGTGCATTTCCGAAGATGGATGGAATGGCTTTAGACAGGACAGAGCAGAGCAAGAGCAGCCATAGAATATATTAGTATAGATGGGGATCTCTTCTATTCTCTCGGATTCAGATCTCATTCGCTCTGATCTCAATGGCTGCATTCAGCAGACTCAACAGTTGGACAACATTACTAGATTTTCTATTGAATCTCGCTCCTGATTGGTCAATACTTCTGGGTCTATGAAGAATCTAAAAGAATGCTCCAATCACAGACAATAATCACTAAGCGCTCTCTGATCACTTTGTTCTACTGAACGCGGCCAATATCGTAAACACCCATTATCTTCCTCTCTCACTTCCATTTTTACCCCATGCGACGCGAGCCAATCAGCAATCGTTCACCCATCGGTCGATCTCTGTTTAAGGATCTCTAGTACTGGCGGCGCTGGAGATGTTGACACACGACCAAAATCACCGTTAGCAGTCCATAGTTATATAGTCAAAGGTTAAGACTTATACTCGTTTGGCTTTCTTTAAACTAGTGTGTTGCACTTATAGTTGTTGCTCTCTAGTTAAAATAAATTTTATGTGGATATTAATGAAACGAATATTATCATAATTATATAGTTTAAAATTACATTTAATAAAAATTACTTATAATCAGTTGATTAATATCAATCTGGGACGAAGATAAATTGAAAGAAGTACTCGAAAGCTGGAAGAAAGAGGTAAGTTATGCGTTGGTACATTTATTCTTTTTTCTTTTAGTGTAATAATCAATGAAATTACTATGTCTTAACTCACTTGGAGGTATATACAGCTATATGGCGCATTGTCACATTCAATATTATATAAGGTTATCTTATGTTGTTATTTGGACTGGATCGAAAATCAAAAATAGCATCTTTTGTTATATACATAAGACTTGTAGCGCGTGAATTTATAATTTTATTTTATTTTAATATGATGTATTCGCAGATAATATAAATGAATAATATAATATGAAAAACTTATATGATCTGATGATTTATAATATGACTTATAATATAAAAGGAACGAAATTAAAAACAGTCTGCGTTCCGATATTCAAACTAAATAACTGATCGCACATATATAAACACACCCACTCGCGCGTGCACGCGCACACACACAAAATATTATTTATTTATAGTTACGTTAAGCATACTGTTGATTTTCAGTATTAGTAGTAAATATTTGATCGTAACTTAACAGCTAAAATATATAAATTAAAAATGACGTAAGTAGAGTATATGTTAAAATAATTGTTTTGAATAGGTTAATAAAATAAATGATTACATACTGATAAAAAACATTTAGAACCATTACACACCAATTAAGGTTAAGTTAGAAATGTAAACATAATTTGAAAAATGATTCAAGTTAATTGATTTACGTTTTAATAACCTAGAAGAAAATATAAAAATGATGTTTAATCTATTTAGACTATAATTTATTTCTGCATATTAATATGTATTGTTTTTTATATAATTATTATAATATTTATGTTATTATATAAATATTGCAGCTAAATATAATTTTTAATAAAAAGTTATTCATAAACAAATATTTTTTAAAAATATCTATTGTTTTTGATAACATTAGATACACGATATAATCATTAATATTTTCTTCTGAGCAGATTTTTATCGATTTAGAAATGGTTAATGATGTCGTAAACTCTGTTTCATTTGTAACAATTTATAATATTATTAATCTATTGTGAATCAATCAAAATCTTAGTTAAAAATGCTATATGTAAATACTCTCCTGACATCTACCCTATTATTTATGTTTTTCATTACCTGTAATTTTGTAGAAGGATATAATTCTATTAAATCTTATTCCTGGATTTTTATGAAATTCAGTGAAATGGTTTCAAATATCTTCAAATAAATATCTACAAAGTTTTTTAATGCTGATTAAATATCAACTGAAATAATGTTAAAGCAATGAATATATTTGTTTCTAAAAAAATTACCATAGATAAGAAAATGATCTTGTATTGTGATATTATATAATTATATCATATATATAATAATAACTAGTTATAATATTAACCAGTAAACACAAAGTATCATCGATGTTAGAATGTCAGCTAAATCATATGGTATGTTACAAAACTGTTATTTTGTTATATAATAAAGCAACTGTCATGTAACATACCATATGATTTAGCTGACATTGTAACATCGATGATACTTTATGTTTACTAGGTAATTAATATCAACATTATATAATATTTATTATTGCAAAGTATATAACATATTTTGAATAAAATGAAAAGTATTTTTAACTTAGATTAAGTAAGGAAACAAATATAACATTATTTTTATTTAATTATATAATAAATGAATAAAATAAATTATATAATTAAATAAAATTTAATTATATAATAAATATAATAAATATATAAGTCTGTTATATTTTGAATAGGTTTAATGAATAGATCTATATTTTGCTTTATAATATTTCTTCATCACAAAAATTCATAAATGATTGGTGATATTTTCTTTTTTAATTCCATGACGATTCAAGAATTATTGTATTGCATACTACAATGTTTCGATAATTTGTGTGCACATATATTTTAGAATTAACAAGTTTTATTGTATGATTAACTGTTTTATATATATAACCAAACATATCTAAATTTTCATATTCTTTCCAGCAGTCAAATTTTAGTGCTTATACATTTTGTATTAAATTTAACAAAGTTTTGGTGTTTCTTTCATTGTTGGACAATTTTTTTATAAAATATATGTGTAAAATTCTATATAAAATACATGTATAAAATTTTTTAAAAAAATGTTTGAAGTTCTGAAGAATCCCTCACAAACATTCCGAATGTTTATGATTCTTCAATGATGTTTGTTCATATTTCCAATGTTCTACTACATTTTTGTCAACCTTAACAATAAAATTTGATTTATTAATATTCTCTGCAATATATTGTTTGTTTAGTGATAACATGTATCTCTTTACAAAATGAGTATCTATCTGAAATTGTCTCTTATCAGGTCTTGTAAGCATGAATAAAACTATTTTCTTAGGTAGCTTATACAAATAAAAAAATGATTTATTGCAAAACGATATGTTAAAATTATATATTTCTGAGCAGAAACATGACATCATTTGAATCATATTTAGCAACTGAAATAGAATGATCATATTTAATTTTCTTATTAACACATTTAAACATTGCACAAATGCTTCTTGATTACTTTAAAATTATATTTCTTTTATGTTTGCTACATTGTTATAATGATAGTATCAATTTCAACTCTTTTAATTAAGTTAGTATGGTTTGCTTGTTTTGTAATTTGGCAGCCATAAAATATAAATTTATTTTACTATTCATTTTGTTACTATACACTTCATTACTTACTATTTCTATCTTTATAAGTATATTTTTGAGCGATATCAATACATGAATATATGTTTATGTGACTTTATCCATTGTAAAAATAAAATAAATCATCTTTTTGACTTATATAGGATGTCCCATTTTACATGTCTCAGGCAAAAATCTTGAAAAATATGAAAAATACTAAGAAACGTTTCAGACAAAAATTGTATTATTTCAAGAGAGACATAAAACAACTATATCATTTTGCTTACAGATGGTATCATTTTCGAAATATTCACTTCTCATCTTAATTTTCTTAAATGGAAACACCAATTTTTTACTGTCATCTTTTTTTACCAATTAATATAAACAACTTTTGTCTGAAACATTTTTTTATTTGCCTAACATGTTTTGAGATATTTAAGGAAAACTTGGTACCTTTCCAATATTTAATTCACGATATCTCGCTAACTATATATCGGAAAAAAAGTGATACTAGACTTTTTTACTTTACTTGGTCTCAAGAATATATTGTTACAGAGTATACCTTCATCATTCCCCGCCGTCGACTGCCCTGATGGAATAATAAACTTTTATCTCGATTCGA